ATTAAAAAGGACAATTTACATATTGACACTGAAGGTAACAGAGGTAGCAGGCATCAGTGTATTTGTGATTCTTCGGTGAAAGAACTGATGAGCAAGTTTTTCCTTGCAGTCCATAGGTAACCATGTTCGGCTCTCTCCAGCTTGTCTACAAACACATTTTTTTTCACCTGGCCTTTCAGTTCAGTTGGAATAAGAAAAGCAGGAATGTGAAGAGATGTGTCTGAACAGTCCTTCTCTGGTATTCTACACTAGCTGTATCTCTGCAGGCATCAAACTGAGAGGAAAAACATTCCTATCAGGGGAAATGGGGTTAGGGTTAGTGGAGTAGAAAAGTGAACTGCTTCAATAAAACTGCTAACCTTGAATTATGCAATCGGAAAAATAACTCTTGCCAAACTACAATTCTAACGGAGTTCAGAGTACTGTCAGTGTTTGCCAAATACCCCAGCCAAAAGGATGTCTCAAAGAGGGGGAGGAGGGATCTGCTGCCATATGCCCAACATTCACGGTATTCTGGAAGAACTGTGGAGTCCTTCAGGAGTGGAGGCGTGTGCATGGTCTCAGGCGCACCCTGAGTGTTGGTACCACAGTCCAGCACAAGACAGGAGCAGTGAGGTCAGAGGGGAGTAGGAAAATATATCAGAATGTCTTTATTTCTCAGACCTTCCAAGGTTTTGCTTCACATTTGTATAGTAGTGGGAGGAGTTCTGGCAAATGTTATCAGGCTGTTCTACATATGTTTTGACTCTTCTTGGTTTATGTTTCTTCTATGAAAGAGAGTGCAACCAAGTTCTTGTCATTTTTAGATCAATGTTTTGTTAAACTATGACAGCTATCCATGACAGAGAGCCAAGTAACTTTTGCAGCTGACCACAAAACTGAGTCTGACTTGCAGTGCTTAGTCATTTTTATATGTTTTTTTCTACATGATACATTCCATGTGTGTATGTGTTTTTCATTGTTCTTTTAAATATACATTTAACATCACTAGCTCTGATACAAATCAGTTTTCTCCAACGGATTACTTTCTTTGATTAAGTTTTAGAAACTGCTCATCACATTGTGGCTATTGATGACACCTCTCTGGTTATACTTTGAACCATTGGGCTATTGTGGAATTGATTACTTGCTACAGTATTATCTTCTCTGGTTTGCCCATTACAGTTTTAAATGACCCAGACAACCCCTACAGAGAGTCTCTCCTACCATCCAGTAGACATGACCATTAGGATAGTTTTTCCCAACCTCTGATGAAGTTTTTCACAGAGGAAAAAGATTTTTATATGATGCCTTTCAGCCTTTTGGGGCCTGATCCAAAATTGAGATGTTTAGAAGGAAAAGAATCACTTAATCTGTAGCAAGAGATCCCAATGTTTCTTTTTCTGCTCTTGCAGAAATGTTCCTTACCATTGGTTTTCACTGCCTTGTGCTGTCTGATTTTTAGAAGATCTCACAAACCTTGTTTGGTCTCACAAACCTTGAACTTAGACCAACCTTGCCTGTTCTACCCAGCAGTACTGGTTCTAGGCTGCAGTTGATGCCACTCATGCATTGCTCATAGGACATTTTATACCTTTGGGGTGTGGGGGAAAATCTGAAATGAAGGGATTATCACTCTAGTGATTTTCTTGTAGCTTTAAAAACCTGATAGCATGTACAATTTCATCAGCTGAAGTCTCTTTCCTATTTCTTTCTATGCTCAGCAAGACAGTCAGATGTAGAGTTTGATAAAACAATAAAATAAGTTTAAGGTATAGTCTAACCATAGTGTGCAGGAATGTGCTACTACCCCCTGAATTCTCATGCTGTATCACAACTGCTTTATTGAAGTGTGCTGCTGAACCCAATATGCATGTACTCTACCTGTTATCACTGTACGGTACCACAGCTTGCTACTGTTGACACAGCTAATCCAACACAGTTTTAAGAATGTTTAATTTGCTATTGAACCAAGATAATGATGATAAATAGATCCTACTTTTGTATAAAACTGAAACCATTGTAGGCCTCTTGTCTGAAGTTCTTAAATAGGTTCTGTGAGAGGAGGCTGGGCTAGCAATGTCAGCAGGTTGCCAGTTTATTTGGGGTCAGGGAAGAAAAGAGGTGGGGTTTTTTGGAACTTCCATAAATACTTTCTCCATAAACTGAAAGACTCTGTAGGAAAGGTAAAGAAATGCTTCCATCAAGCGAAAAGCAGTAAGTCATCAACTGAGTGTTTTCAAGCAAAACAACATGGGAATGCTTCTTAGCCCCTTTCAAATAGTTTGGAATTGTAAAAGTATTTTTGTATGTGAGGATTGGGGAAAATCATCTGCCGTGTGTTTAATGGGAAGAGCGTAGGACAGGAAATCAGAACACTACTTACATATAGTCAGGTTTTTTCATCCTGCCAGGGCATCACTGATCTCTTTCTGCTCTCCTAATGGTGTTGCAGAGGCTTAAGAAAGAGCAGGCCTTAAACTAATTCTAGCCTGAGTACTTTTTAAACTTAAACATTTCTAAACATTAACATGGAAGAGTACGGGTGGCTGTTTTGACATGCTCTGTTTCAAGAACAATGTTGTGCAGTTCTTTTTAACTGCTATCATTGCTGATTGAATTACATTGTTATTCTCTACATTTAAGTAGCAGGGAGTAAATTTTCACTGTGTTGAAAGGGTGGTCACCCCATGCAAGTGTTTTGGCTGTCCGGAGGGTCACCTCCAAGCACCAGGGCTGAGCAGCGCAACCCGGGAGCTCCACACTCACCTGACATCCCTTCGCAGCCCCTCTTCAATCACTCCTGTGCTCTCTCACTTCATCTAATGTGGCTGTACCTCAAAATGCAAAACTTTGTCCAAGATGGATAGTGGCAGAGCATCTGTAGGCTTGTTAAGTCAAACTCTGATAAACAAGCCGTAGCTGGTGTGTGCCTTGCAGACAGACTGCTGGAGTATTCACTGACCTTAAGACTCAATCAGATCATGTCGGCAGAGTATGGTTCTGAATGTAACTGCCTCCGACTTCAACAGCTGCGTTTACTGCATAAAGAAAAAGCTGTTAAGCCTGTGCCCTTTGTGCTCTCAGCTCTGTTTCCCTAAGAGGTTTATACATGATTCAAGAAAAGTCTGCAACAGAATAACTCCCCTCTCATAATAAACCCAACAAGAGGAGATATTCTTTTATATTTTAGGTTGGTGGCAGCATTTTTAAATGATTTCTGAAATAAAAATTTTTGAACTCTAACATTATGAAGTTGATGGTAAATAGATTTTTTTTCCTGAGGAAAAACTATTGACTTCCATTATCTGTCTGAGATGTATTTGATGAAATACAAAGGCAACTTATTCCTAACTTTCTGTCTGCTCACAGCCTGCTTTGGCAATGAGAGCCAAGTTAAAACCATTAGATCTAAGTTTGGTAAAGCTAAATGCCTGAATAGTTCAGGTGTGTATTCATAGCTTCTCCAGGCTTTCTGGATCTGCTGTGCCTGGCAGTGTTACAGAAACCCTTTCATTTGTGATAGGCTACCTCTACTGCATGAGCTTTTCCTGCAAAAAACAAGAGGATAATTCATCTTGCACACTTTCAGTGGTGGTGTGTCTAGTTATAGAACAGAGCACCAGGAGTGCAAAAGGGATCCACAGTGGAAATGAATGTGAGGAGTAGGAAAGTTAGCCTCATGTTCCCTAAATTATGAGAGCGTATGAAGTTGAGCAGATTCGCCTTGTTTCTAACTCTTTCAAGAAAATCTTTGTGAAATAACTTACATGATTTTGCACCATTCTTTGAATTGCAGATGCAGGGAAACACATTACAGGAAGCATTTCTGTATTCACATTGTTCTTTTTTCTGTTTTCTTCTATAATACAACCCAGTGACATTATTAGGCTATGTAGAATAGTTGTAAAGTCTCTGGCTGCCATGTGAAATCTGAAAGTTTTTTTAGTTTGTTGATCTTTTACAGTCATCAGGAGTGGAATAGAGCAACAAAACACCAATCTCTCTCTCGGGAAGTTCAAAAGAATATTTTTGACTGGAGCCACTTTATTATCGTGCTGTATCATGCCATTTTCTTAGCTTTGTAAAAGGCACAGTGCCTAACATTTTGAGATGTTAGTATTGCTTTCCTGAAAGATTTATTTTTAAACATATGATTGTCAGAAAGATAGAATGTTTATGTGTAAAAGACGTTGGGAAAACAAAAACAGTTGGAAAATGGAACACCTTTGTGTTTGTAAAGTCAAACAATTCCGGGGGAAGTGAGGTGTTTTGAAGAGAACATTGGAATTAATGGCCCTGGCATGTTGTTCTGGCAATGTCTTTAGACACCACTGCAGCCTGACAGATTAATTGGCAGCATGCACTAGCCTGTTGCAATCCAGAGTTCACAGATAGTTCTCACTAGATGAATGACGGATGGGGTGTTAGTAGGGTTGGGCAAAACAGTCTGGACAAGAACACAAACTGCTGCCCAAGTATCATGCTTAATTCAGGCTGACCTGACTAAGTTTGAATTACAGGGTGGGTTTTTTTTTTCCCTATGGGCTGCTTCCTAAAATACTGCCTTTTAAAAAAGACAAAGGGCAAAGTCACCCATGTCTTTGCATTTTGGTTGCAGGCTGGAAATAGAGTAAAACAATAAATACATTGCAAAAGAGTATGTATCATCTAAGTTTCCAGTCCAGCTTTGCAATCCCAGGGAATTAAAGTTGAGAGTTGAAGTATTCTTCAGATGTTCAGCCAATTTTATCATGCTTAACTAAACCAAGCTTTTCAACACTATGAATTTTGCTCATCAGTAGCTAATAAGCGTGTTTAAAAAAAAACTTGGTAGAGTCTGCAACCATAGCCCTTCCAAAATAAATATGATTATGTATTCTTAAATACCTGGCTCGGTAAACTGCTGTGAATGAATTGTTACCCAGCTTCCCTATCAACCTTCTAAATTACCTATGAACTTTGCAGTTACAGTGTTTAATTATTTTCCTGATCTAAATCCTGTCACCTTGCCCATATAGGACAAAACAACACTGGAGACCCTGACTCAGCAACTGGCAGTAAAACAGAGTGAAGATGGGAAGTTTAGCCACACAATGATGGATTTCAACATGAGTGGGGATTCTGATGGTTAGTACAAATGGCTTATCCTTATTTCCAAGGTTTGTGTGTACATGTCAACAGGATTTGGAGGAGAATCCAAGTGCTTTGGAGGCCTGTGAGGAGTAAGAGCAGTTAGCAATAAGTGGCTATTAAACAAGGCAGGAAAAAATGATTCGTGTGGTGTTTTTAAGTCTGGAGGTGATTTTTAGCCTTCTCTTCTGTACACTGCAGTTCTCAAGATTGGACCAAGAATGGATTTCTGATGGCAAAAGGGAATAAAGGCAGCAAATAGATGTGAGATAAATGAGCTCACACAGTGAGTCCATGAATTATAGACCTCGTCATCCATCAGTGATGCACGCTCTGCATCTGTAGGAGCTTCCTTGGTTTGATGAAGCAAATGTAATGTTCATTTCTTTATCTGCCATTGCTTATGTTGTTATGGAGAGGTAAGCACAAAAACAGGCAGATGTGTAAATGCTCCTTTGCAAGTTAGAGAATTGCTTAAGAAAAAACACCTGATACAGCCATATATCACTCCCCATCACAAAAAAAAGTTAGAAGATAGGTAACATGATATGACCAGCATTTTGTAAGCAAGAAAGGAAGAAAGTAAAAAGAAAATCTACATTGATAAGTGTTGGGTTTATGTTACTAAGTAGTAAAAGGTGTTTTAGAAAAGCTGTTTAATGTATGGTGTTGAAAAAAACAATTTAAATTCTTCATCAAGTCTATACTCTGCGATACTGAATCAATAGAGCAACTATAAACTAGACAATATACAATATATTGTGTTTCCTACTGCTTCAAGTAAAAAGAAGAAACACCATTCACCTGTTGTGAACACTGACTCATTGAATGTGCAGCGCCTGACATAGGTTACTGATGGCAGAGGAAGCTGCATAATGAAACACAGGCTGGAAATGTTTTTTCTCTTTCTTTTTAGGAAGTGCAGGAGTTTCAGAGTCTAGAATTTATCGGGAATCCAGAGGGCGTGGTAGCAATGAGCCCCATATCAAGCGCCCAATGAATGCATTCATGGTGTGGGCTAAAGATGAACGGAGGAAGATCCTTCAAGCCTTCCCTGACATGCACAACTCCAATATCAGCAAGATACTAGGTAAGAATGATCAAGTAGGGTTCTTTCAGTAGCAAAACTCAAAAAAACTTTTGACTGACTAGAGCTGAGCACCTGACACAACAGAATTACTGTCTCTAGAACATGTCTTTTGCTACTTAATGATTGCACCAAGGACAACAGTGATAGGAACTTCCACTATTCTGCCAAGTAGTGTACATTAACCATAACCTGAAATGTTCTTGCATCTTTGTCATTACTGAGATTGTGGTGGTGGTTTTGGTGTGAAAACATGAACTGAATAGACAGAAACAGTTCATTTCATTAGGCTGTTGAACAAGCGCAAAATAACTGCTATCATTTATTTGCCCACATATTTCATCTAACTAGATTCTGTGGGGTAGCACACCACAGTATTTGATTTGTGCCATATCACTTTCTGTTCAAATCAATGGCCATAGGGAAAAAATCCTAAAATGCATCCTTTTATTTTATACACTGTCAGTTTTAAATGATTTTTATTATGTTTCTGTTATATTAAATTTCCATTTAGTACATGATCTCTATCACAAGCTGCTTTTATTATAAATATTCTGAAAAGAATCCTGAAATCAAAAAAAGAATCATCAGAACTGATTTCCATATCCTCCACTCTTCACATCTCAAGCAATATTTGTCATGAACATCATCTACTGAATTTCATGCCATTGTCTTCCAACTTTTCACTACTTGCTCAAATTCCCAGGACCACATTCCATCCTAATTTACTCCTCTGTGACACACAGAATGATACAGAAGGTGAATAATGAGGATCTCTGAGGCCAATGAATTACTGTTCTGCAGGGAAAAAAAAAAAAGATCTGTGACCAAATTGGAGATGTTGCATTTTTACCAATAAAAGACTGTGTTACAGGACCTAAGTGTCCCTCAGGCCCATGGGTAAAAGCTTAAGCAGGGAAAATGTTTACCTGAGCTGCAGGTCTCATTGGTTTTGCAAACAACCTGATAGATGTAGCACAACTGTAATGGCAGCATTAACCGTCTGCAGGGCTGGTAAATATGCTGAGTTTAGATTTGGCTGCACCTCGATTCTTGTGTTCAGTTTTGGGCCCCTCACTACAAAAAGGACATTGAATGACTCGAGCGTGTCCAGAGAACGCAACGGAGCTGGTGCAGGGTCTGGAGCACAGGTCGTATGAGGAGCAGCTGAGGGAACTGGGGGTGTTTAGTCTGGAGAAGAGGAGGCTGAGGGGAGACCTCATCGCCCTCTACAGCTACCTGAAAGGAGGGTGCAGAGAGCTGGGGATGAGCCTCTTTAACCAAGTAATAAGCGGTAGGTAATGGCCTCAAGTTGCGCCAGAGAAGGTTTAGACTGGCTATTAGGAAGCATTTCTTTCCAGAAGAGGTTGTTGGAATGGGCTGCCCAGGGAGGTGGTGGAGTCCCCATCCCTGGAGGTGTTGAAGAGTTGTGCTGACATTGTGCTTAGGGATATGGTGTAGTTGAGAATGGTCAGTATTAGGTTAATGGATGGACTAGGTGATCTTCAAGGTCTTCTCCAACTAGACAGTTCTGTGATTCTGTGGTCAGAGGTTTGAAGTTTAGCTTGATAAGAGTAGTATTATGAAAAGTTAGTAGGGGGCAAGTGGAAATGAGTTAAATTGGTTAGAGAGGCAGAATGTATTGGCTGTCAATGGCAGATGTGACAATATTAACCGATGATTAAAAAGGTGGTATGATATTACTAGATTAGTTATGGAAACAGGATTAGAAGGCTAAATTGGTTATGTTGATGGTAAAATAACCTTATACTGGTTAAAAGGGATTATACTGGTCAGAGGTATATGATGTGATTAGACTGAGGACAGGGCAGTAATAGTTTTGGTCTGTTTCTAAGTTGAGAGTAGACCTGATTAAACCTGTTTTGAAATAATCAGCTTCAGAAATCTACGAGATCATTCTGAATGGCCCTTTTCATATAGAAAGTACAAAGAGAGCTTGATGTTTTCCCTCTTAACTGATTGTTTTGGATAACAACCTCTGACAGCACGCTGCTAATTCATTCTGCTTAAAACAGGCGCTTGAGCTGGGCTGACATTTTACGTAGTCTCTGGGGATCCTGGTTGACATTTTAAAGGGCTTCTAAGCATTTTATAATACTCTAAAATCTGGTTTTAATAAGCCATTCTGCTGAAATTGTTAACATAAGGAATCACCTTTTACTATTTGGCGCTAGATCAGGGAGATATGGGGACATCTTTTTCTGATTAGATATACAGTAGTTGGAGTAAAATGTGCAAATTCATTACAGATCCTGTTGAGGTGACAGACAGTATAGCTGACTCCAAACTCTTTCTGTTTTGCTGCCAGATACAGGGAAAAGCAAGGTCTGAAGCAGTAAGAGATGATGTTTCTATTTCTTTCCAGCATCTTATTTAATTTTTTTATTCCACCTGTGCAATGGAGAGGGATGTCCTGACGTCTTCTTTCTTGACAGAAACATTACAAAGGTCTTCTCTCAATTGCAAAAGGCCAGCCTTTTGAAGACAGCAGGGAGTTCTCTGTTAACTGGCATAGGGTGAGCAACTAGAAGCTTACAGTTCAGCCAGGTATCAGGGTCTCTTTATTAGAAAGCCACAATTTTTCCTTACCATTTTTTAGCAGCACTGCTACACATTGAAGTCAGAGAGCTCGTTGTCACGGGGAGTAGCTTAGATGGAGTTGTCACCAATCAAGGGTCATTTTTATAATAGAATAAGATGAGGTGCCCTTCCCAGCACTAGAATTCTTTAGGGATTATGTTTGACACTGTGGTATTATGTTTTGAGCATAAAAATTAGATACATGGATTTGTCACTAAATTCATCTGTGCATACGTTTGTCATCCATCTGTTCCTTGCAACTTAAACTTGCAGATAATAATTTTTTTTAGTACATTGTTAAAAAAGTGTTAAAATGGGTCTCTTGGACCCTAACAATTTAATAATGCATTGTTTAGATATTTTTGTAAATACTTTAATTAAATTTACTGAGAAATCTACATAAAGAGATGAGGAAAAGATGAAGTTAGATACTACCTTCAGAAATTCTTTTGTGGATGTGCAAGTGTGTGAATACAAACCTATACACATACCTATACATTATATGTGTTTGTGTATGTGAGGATATCATTTAAATGTAAAATCAGCCTGATTCAGATAATCAGATTCAAAAATGTCAATCTAATGGACTAAAAGTTAGGCAATATTACGAACAGCTGAAAAATCTTGTTGGAGAAACTTGGATTAAAACCAGTGGTAAGAAGAGCTCCTAACCCCACCTAGTACTTGTGCATGTGTGCCCGAGCACAAGTGCCAGGGCACACATGGAGGCATCTCTTCTCTGTCCTGGACATAAAAAACAAGCCCCACAACCATGTTCGCAGTGACTGTGTGGGCACAGCTCCAACTGTTCTAGCTCACTTTGGGGGCAGGAGCCATATTTGGGGCTGAAAAGTCTTCTAGTTTTCTCATCTATTTTCTAAATACTTCAGCCACCAGATTAGGGAGAACCGTGCAAGAATCCTGCTTGTCATTATGTATGCATCCAGGGAGGGGAACGGGTTATTGTTGTCATAGTCAAGGAGAAAAGCCTTGCATACTTGACCCACTCGGAGCTTTCTAACACAGATGGTGAGCAGAAAGCTCACCCAAGAGTGTAAATCTTCCCTTAAAAAGAAAGATTTTTCAAGATACTTCAATAATGCCTTGTTTGGGCTTGGGCTTGGCACTGTGCATAGGTACCCGTGCCTGCCTGAGTGTGTTTATAAACACATAAAGCAATGGCAGATAAAGCCATTACAAATATATTTTGTTCAAGCACAAGGTATTTTTAACCAGTTTTAGTATGTTGATTGACAGTAATCATTCATAGCTTAGCTTGTCTGTGCGTGCAGATTCAAAGATCAGAGTTACATATTCTTCAAACTTCTGAAATTTCAGATTAAGGCCAATCACAGAGCTGGATGGATTTTACTAAGAAAATAATTGAAAAATATAAAATGTAAAAACAAGGGTTTATCATCAGAAAATGTGCCCTTTTTCAAAATTTATTTTGACAGCATTGGTTGTTTAATTATTTACGATACTTCAAAACATACTAGTAAATTATATTTAGTACATTTTGTAAAAACAGTAAAGTCATAATAAGAGGAGGTATCACTGCAGAAGGCAGCTATTAAAAAATTTGCTAGAAAGAGAGGTGAGACTGCCAGGATTTTTGTTGTATTGAGTTTACGGTTTAGTAAGCAAAGACATAACAAATGACATTTATGTATAAATATTGTATGTGCAACTGTATGTACAAATATTATGGATCAAAATTTCAGGTTTTATGGCCCTGATCCTGCAAAGACTTATGTGTTTGCCTAACTTCACCCACTATTTACAGATCTTTTCATGTGAGGGAGTAGGAATCTGCCTGCCCGGATCTGACTGTAGTATTGGAGCAAGTGAGCTAGCACAGTGAAAGAGGAATTATTCTGGGATGGAACATTTTCATGACAATTTTGCAACAACTGATTTGAATTTCTACCTTTCTGTCTGTCCATCTGTCTCAAAATGTATCTGAAATCCAACATTGCAAGTCCCCTCACAGTGTCTAAAGGAAATGTCAAGATTTGTTTAAAGGCTGAGGTTTTTGACTTTATTATTCATAAATAAAAACTGATTCATCAGCAGGAAATGGGGCTGGGGCTGTTTTTCTAAGCCACTGGGGCTACAGCAGGTTTGTCATTAGAAGACTCTAGATTTAGACCAACTTTTTTATTTGCTTCATATGCTAAAATGCCAGTGTACCAGTGTCTGTGAGGTAGAATTTGAAGGTAGACCTACATCTGGGCATCTTCCAGTAGAGCTCATATGCTTTACCCTGAACTCCTAACATCATTCAACACAGTCCCTATCTACATTTCCATCTTAAGCAGCATTAGTGGGTGTTAAGTGTTTTGACAGTCTCCGCATGTTTATCACTGTGTCATTTAGCCCAAAATTTAGGAGGTACTACGAATGGAAATTTGGTGTCACTTTTTCTAGCCACTTTCTTTGCCAGAAAAAGCTTGGAATAATTTCTCTGCAGGAGATAAAGCTGCCCACCAGGCTTCTAGCCACAGAGGTTTGCTGCCCTGTGTAAGACAGTCCTGACACAGAGCCCTGTGCATAGACACTACCTCAGTATGACATACAAAGTGCTGTGCAGGAGTTTTAGTCCAAGTCCTTAGAAACCATCTAGTCACACTAACATGGTCATGTGCCTAAGCTAATAACAATGTTATTAAACTGTTTCCCATTCCAGAACTCGCTGGAGGATCTCTGCATGTTACGTGCTGTAAACATAATGAAAAATGCCATTTTTTTGACCCTAAAGTAATGTTTGCTAAGAAAGGGATGTCCATTGCCCCTCTTCAGAACAAAGGCATCATTATTTACAAATCGATTGTCTGTAGGTGTAGGTCAGGCTGTACCAGCCTGTTATCCCTTTATTGCAGCTTGGAATAAAGATTCAAAGAGCAATGTGGAAAATGGTGTCAATAATCAGAGGGGGCCTTTCTAGAGGGAACCAAACTGTTTTCTTTCCGGGGAAGGGATAACTTCACTCTGTATTGCAAGTCTTAGGGGCGCAGTGAGGTAAGACCAGCCCAAGTAATAGCATGAGCTAAGTACAGTATGAGTAACCATAAAAAAATAAAGAATAAGAGGAAGTCAAGTATGACATATGACATTATGAACCCATTAAATTGAGAAACTATTCAAACTTTCTTCCAATGGGAAAATGGACTATTTAACAATAAAGTTTTCCTTCTAGGCCACACATTTCACAGCTTGGACCATTCCTGTTATTTGAAATGTATCTTACCCTGAAGCACTTCTGTAGCTCATGGAAAAATAAAACAGGGTGACTGATTCAAGAAATTTTACTTTCTGCTTCCATATTATGTCTTTTAAGAAATATTAGTTTATAAATTTCAAGAAGTATCTGAAAACAATAGTAAAGTCTTCATTATTTCCCTAGCTCAAATATCCACACTAACACAGGCAGAGCGTCAGAAACAAGGCTGCCAGAAATGAAGCCGTAGTGCGGCTCCACGGAGGGGTATGCCAGTATCCCAGTGCTCTTCCCTTCATGACACGTTCTAAATTCTTAAAGTTGGAGCTGGCAGTGTTCAGCAGGACTTGGTCTTAGAGTTAAAACCCCACTGAGACATACAGGATAGTTTGTAGCTTTTAGAGGCATTGCTTCAGGGTGTTTGCAGGCTCCTGTACCCAGCAGCATAGCATTTATGATCAGTTCATATTCTGCTTCTCACAAACCTGGAAGCTAGAAAGGTGGGGCGTTTATGATTAAAGACTAAGCTGTAGACATGTTGATATCCAGAGTTTATGCCTTGATCCAACCATGGTGGAGCACAGCAACTAGATCATAGCACATGGTAGTGGTACCTCCGCTAGAACAGGAGGTAAAAACAGGCCCATGGCCAAAGGAAAGTGGAGGGGATGTAGCCGACCAAACTCTTCGTATCTAAGGGGTGTTTGGCCATTCCATTAAAATACACTGCCTTGTTTTCTGAAACAAAGTGTCAGGGATTGCTCGTTATCAGGATGATGGTTTTGCTTCCCACATGAAAGACATTATAATGTAGATAAGTTTCAGTAAAATACTGAGTCAAAACTTCCAGTATCATCTCTCTCTGCCTCTTGGCCATACCCAAGAGGTTTACCAGTCAAATACAAACAAGACCTGACCCCTGTCTAGAAGCTCTGACAGATTCCCAGCCCAAAGCAATATGACCGTAGGTATTTGTTCTGGGTGACCTACTTGTTTCTCTGCCTTTCAGTATTTGTGGATGAGTAGAATCTCATTTCTCATTCTTTCTTTGTTTGTTTGTGACAGGATCTCGCTGGAAAGCTATGACAAACCTGGAGAAGCAGCCATACTATGAGGAGCAGGCCCGACTCAGCAAACAGCACCTGGAGAAATACCCAGACTACAAATACAAGCCAAGGCCGAAGCGTACCTGCCTTGTAGATGGCAAAAAATTACGCATTGGCGAATACAAGGCTATCATGCGCAATAGACGCCAGGAGATGAGGCAGTATTTTAATGTTGGGTATGGGACCTTTAAAAACTACCATTCTTTTTAGAAGAGAAAATTTTCAGGGAGAATTCTTAATTCAGTGTGGTAAATGTTATATTTTATTGGCAAGAACATTATATATTGCTAACAGAATACGAAGTTTATACTTTAAAACAATGTGTTCCAGGAGGAAGTTAGTTAGGGATTTATTTTGTTGGCTCTGCTGTGTACTCATCTTAGAGCTTTGGCCAACTGTCTCATTTCCACTCTGATCATGCAAAAGAAAAAAGGAAAAAAGCTTAAGATTTTCCAGTGAAACGTAAGTCTTCTAATAAAGCCTTACAAGTATTACTTTATTATGAGGCCTCAGAGATTATAACTGAATGAATCTGTGGTAGTGCTTCTTGATCCAAAAGCCCAAAATGCAAGTTTGCATTCAGTATGATCTATGTCAAGTGGTCTCCAAAAGAACTGCTGAACATACTGAACTTGAGCTGGAATATGGACTTGGCTCAGTTAATTCATATCAGGCATGAAGTTGTCTGTGTTGTTCATTGTGATGGTATTTGTCATACTAGGGAGTGTCTTACAGTACAGTAAGCTAAATGCTTTGTGTTGAGCATAAATTTCAAGAAGACTGGTTCTGATAACTAATAGATCAGCTTGATATAGTTAGATTAAAATCTGCCTAGAAAACTAGCATGTATTTTCCTTCTGCAAAGACACCTTGGTTTTGGTTACAGCAGATCAAAAGAATTGGAAATAATCAAATATTCTGCAGTATTTCTATATTCACTCCAGAAAATGAAAAGCTACACAGTGGTCTTAAAAAAAAAATCAAAACCAGCAACAAGAATGACCCTCGGAAATAATGGAATTTGTGTTCTGAATTTGGAATCATTTTAATACTGAGTTGCACGTCTCTCTAGTTAATGGCTAGAAGTAGCAATAAAGAAGGGCATATCTGTCCAGCAACTGTTAAGTGTCATCAGACTGTGTTTTAAACGGCTACAGTGTGCCTTGTTATAATAAGCCGCTCAGCAGAGAAATTTGAGCTGCTTAACCCTGTGGCGCTGGCAGGTCCAGTGATCCCAATGGTAAGCACTGAAACAAACACAGGGAAGTCAGCCAACATTTGGCATCAAGAGATTAAAAAAAAGAGGAGGGGGGCCTTCTGGAAAAAGAATAGGTGGCAACAGAGCCCCCAGAACACTGCTTATCTGGTTAACATGCATGCTTCATCATGGGAAAAAAAATTAACCTTGTAACATTCTGCATATTTAGCTTTCCAAACAAGGCTGACATTGAAATCAAGACATTTCTGGAGATAATTTGCACTGGGGCGTTAGAGCATAGAATCTATGGTGAAATCTTTATAGAATTTACTGCAAAGAAGCTGATGACTGCAGTGGGGTCAGTGTTTGATGCTGGCAGTCACAGCAGTACAGTTGCATTCCTGGTTTTAGTTCCCCATCTGCTGCATCACCCAGTACAGGTCATTTCGGGCTAAACTTCTGAATGCCACTCCCACTCCTGCCTGGGCACCAAAAGAATGGATTGGGTTTACAAGAGCTCTGGCTGTGCCAGTTGCTGCAACATGCTGAAAGCCTGTCTGAAGGCATCACAATGTGAAGGATTGGGCATTTTTTGCAACTCTTGGACTTAGTGCCTCCCTGTCTCACTGTCCTCCTCTTTAATGGTAGTGTGGGAAGCTCATCTCACTGGAATGCTGAGAGCCCTAATACATTACTAGCTGAGGACTGCTTTGAGATCCTCTGGAGTGAACATCCTATAGAAGAGGAAAAATACTATTCTTAAATTATTTAATATTTGAAAAGCACTATGAAAAGCACCATTTAAGTGCAAAGTGTTCCTATTGTTAAATATTAAAAGCAATTTAAGTGTGCTGAATCTTGTTACAGAAATGCTGACTCCAGAAAACAAAAGCCTTCCTACTGAATAAAGAATAAAATGCAAATCAGATATGCTCCCTAGTTTAAGAGCTATATCTTCAGCTGAGACAACTTCTACTTGTTTCAGGAACACAGAAATAAGAACTGTGTGGAGGGAGGCCTTGCTCGAATGGGAGGCAGGAAGCATCTGAAAATGCAGCAAGCAATTCCAAACAAACGTAAAGCTGTTTGGCAGAGGAAAGTCTTTCAGGATCACTGTACTGTGCAAGGCTTACTGTACGGCCAGGGGAACAGGGGAGGGTTTCATTCTTAATTAAGAATATTCATCTCAAGAGGCTCTGCCCTGTCTCCTGTGGCAAGGCTTTTCAGTGCAGATGGACACACTGCTGATGACATTACAATGTGCAGCATGTACTGAAGAGTATTACTGCAATAGAATTACTTCATGCAGCAAGCAAACAAAAGGAGCATGAATTTTAAACCTCTAGGCTTGTTGGGACCCTGAAGCTTCTCAGGGAAACAAACACTGGTATAACACAGCTAGTGTTCTTGATGCAAAGGGAATTTCTATGGCCTGGAATAATTCTTTCATGACTGCGGACAGGTTTCCAAGGCTTAGAGGCCATATAAAGGCATCCTGTAGAGGATTTTCTCAAATGCTCATGATGCTTGCTTTTTATTTAATTAATGCATGCTTCTGTTTTAAGTCTGCCTTTTTGCAATTTTATCCACCTTCTTTCAAAGATTATGCTTTTCACAAGTGCTGCTCGCTGTGGAAACTGTCACCTTCCAGTGGAAGGCCCTTAGTGATCATCCTGTAAACCCATGTTGTCCCCAGAAAGCCCACTGTTCCTCTTCTTAATAATGACCAGGTCTGTGACTGAATGTGGAATAAGTATTGCCTCTTTGGAGAGACCTGCCCTGCTTTTTCCTCATCCACTGGTAGATTTCTACAGTACCTCCTCATTCCTGTGTATGCTGCCTAGCCCTTGTCACATCTCTCCTGTTAGCAATGTGTTACTTTTATGTCTACTCCTGCTAGCAGCTTGGGTTACTTAAAAGGAAGATTTTCAAATTGAAAATTTGACCACAATTGAAAGGATGTTTAGTTTTGGCTGGCAGCTCATGGGACACCCACTTTAGCTAGTAAAGAAGTTTGCATCACGAGCGGGCAAGCTGAAGCTGTGTAGTTCAGATAAAGCTAGAGGTGTTTACAGAGATAGGGTTTTGGTTTGGGCTTGATGTTCATTTCAGGAGCATCAGTTGGTGAGTCTGGAATATTGATGTAAGGGTTGTTGATATATTGATATAAGGCTTGATGTTCATTCATTCATATATTGATATATTGATATAAGGCTTGATGTTCATTTCAAGAACATCAGTTGGTGAGTCTGGAATATTGATATAAGAGTTGTCCTGCATGAGCCATCCAGGAGCTTCCTCTGCATGCCCAAGAGCATACGCTATGAGCTTGCAAAGTGCTGTTGTACTTACTCTCCCTTTAATGCTTCTAGTATTCAAACGTCCTTTTACTTTTTCTCCATGGCAGGCAACAAGCACAGATTCCCATTGCCACCGCAGGTGTAGTTTACCCAGGAGCCATTGCCATGGCAGGAATGCCTTCCCCACATCTGCCCTCTGAGCACTCAAGCGTGTCCAGCAGCCCGGAGCCCGGGATGCCTGTCATCCAGAGCACTTATGGCATCAAAGGCGAGGAGCCTCATATCAAGGAAGAGATGCAGACCGATGACGTCAATGGAGAAATCTATGATGAATATGATGAGGAAGAGGATGACCCCGATGCAGACTATGGGAGTGACAGTGAAAATCACATTGCGGGGCAAGCCAACTGATCAGGGTCCGAATATCTTGTGACCTCAAGGACTTCAAGGAGAAAAGAAAAAATAAATAAAGCCCCATCTGGTTTATCCTTGCCAGTGGCCAAGCACATTAACTTTCTCATACACTGACTGTTACTTTAACTGTTAGTCTTAACTAGTTGGGACATCAGCTGACTAATAGACATCAGCCTGCATCAGAAGAAAAAAGGCTCAGAAGAAAGGAAACAAAGACAACGACGACAACAACAGAATGATATAAGCTATGGGTAAAATAATGCCAGTAATTCAGCTGCTATACCCAAGCACTGAAGTCTTACCCGTCGACCTTTTATTATTATTATTTTTTTTTCAAATAAACTTTATGGCTGTTTGTTCTACAATGTTCTAGAAATTCTCACTCAGGTACACAGTGCCAACAAGTGGCTTGTGAATGTGTTTTGTTGTTTTGTGCTACAGTTTAAAGAGAAATAATTTTTTTTTTGTTTTTGGTAATGCACCTGACAGGAAAGAAAAAAGATAAAATTCCTTTTACCCTTTCTGTCTCCTCCTCCTCCTCCTCCTCCTCCCTGGCAAATCTGGGTCAGAAGTGTGTGTGTGTGTGTGTGTGTGTGCGTGCCTGTGCGCGTGGCTGGCAAGGAAGGAAGTGGGGAGTCTGTTTCTGTTAACCCCAACAAGCAATTATTTCTTTTCAAGAGAGGACTTCTCTTCATCAGTTGCACACCATACTGAGTCTTTGAGCAAGTGCCAAATTTGTACTAAAGCGCTGAACTAGTCCAATTTGCTTTTTTTTTGGTTGATCTCTTCTTGTTTTGTTTTTCTTTTGCATTTCTTTTGCTTCCTGCTCTGTCTTAAGTTAGGACAGTGTTGTATCTTAGACAATCCCTTGAAGAACCTGATATACCAGCAGCTGGTGAGATTAGACATATATTTTTGGGTTTGGTTTTGCTTTTTAAAGGAAACTGTAGGTGCCATTCTCAGGTGAAAAGAGAGAGAGAGAGAAACATAAGAAATTTAGAGAAAAAGTATTTTATGGTCTTGGATTTTCATGTGTGCGTGTTTATGGTACTAATAAGAATAATATTGGACTATTGTGAGCAAAAAAGCATGTTCCAGAATGAAGTCCTGCACCCTCCAAATGACTTGGTCTGTAAGGAACCTTTGCTCTTCATTTACACTTCAAGTGGCAGCATATACAACATAAAAAAGGCTTGTCCAAAATGCAGTTTGTTCTGCACAGGACAGGACAACACCTCGCTGAGTGTAATTAGGTTACCATGATGTCCAGTTTTAATTAACTCATACCTTCAGGGTGGTTGAGTACTGATCTCTGATTCCACAGGAAATTTTTTTTCAACTGACATTTTTTTCTACTTTGTGCTTGCAGAAATCCATTTTTTATCAGTGGGATGTTTATGTAGGAAGGAAGACTCATAGCTATGAAGAGATTTCCATATTCAGAGTGGTAATGTAAGACCCTGAACCTTTGTGGTGCTGAGTTTCCCTAGCTGCTGCATTTCACAAGTGAAAAATTGTTCTCCTGGGCTAAAATATTTTCAGCATTGTTCTAGAGCCCTTAGATGTGTCACTTGGGCAGTTTTGCCTTCATTGGGCAACAGCAAGTAGGTGAGGAAGGTATATTTACACATCCTTGTAATCCCAAGCAGGAGTTAGCCTTTTGTATTTCCAATAATGTAACTGAATGTTACTCTTTTATTTCAGAAAAAAAGAATGTAAATACAAGTGAATCAAAGAGTCTCATTTCATCTCCTCACTCTGTAGGAGAGGACCCAGGTTCATGTAGCAAGACAGAAGCATTTAGATCTATACCAACCAACCAAGTTTACCCTAATGAGGCAAATTTAGCCCTTAGTACAATCAGCCATTTAAGTCCAGGTGCAGAATGAAAAGGGGCAGGTAGGAGGAGAGATTGAGAAGGAGGGTCTTTCTTTGCCTCTTGCAATTCCACTTGAAGTGTAACTTGACGTCTGCAGACCTTATGCAAAGCAAACAATCAAATGCCATTGAAGACTTAGGACGATACTCCGACGAGCAGTTTGGACATGTGATAGTTTTACCCTGCAACATCTGTTTTATTTTTCTCCCATTTTCCCTTTTTAAATTTCCACCTCTGCCTCGAAAAATTCTTTTCTATTTTCTCTCTCTCAGAAGATTTGCTCTGAAGTTATGCTTGGAGTAGCTGATCATATCCTCCATGTCAGAGAGGGTTCTTTTTGTTTGTGTTTTATGACTGTGTTGGGTTTTTTTCAGTTGAACTGCCTCTTCTTGCTAGTGTTGTAATGGTAATTCTAATTCTAATAATAATAATAATAATAATAATAATAATAATGGTCAGCTGTTCCCAGATTAGTAAATTATATATAATTTATTTTATCCCCCCCTCCCCCCATTTTAACTTTATTTTATTCTGTTCTAATTTGGCAGTGCAGCAAATGAAGCTGTTAGGCTGTTAGGATACCCCTCCCCACCTTGCCTTTTTATATATATATAAATATATATATATACATATGAAAACAAATCGCTTCTTCTTCTGCTCACACCATTCCTCTTTCTTTTATTTTAATTTTGGCCCCAGCCATGTCAACTTCTGATGTTTATTATGATGGAGTGAATTAATGGGAGTGTTGTTTTCAATCTTAATTAACTTCTGCTCTCTCATCACTCATTTTAGTTATTTAATTACACCAGTCATCTAGAGCCAATTTTTTTTGAAGCACTCTGTTTGGATAAGAAGGAAAAAAAAATAGACAATTGTTTTTATATCATTATGTACAATGTGAAAATGAATATTTGCTCCTTCTTTTTTTAAACTTTTAAATTTGTTCCCTGTCTTTGTGAACAAATTACTTCTGACTCTTGTGGGTTCACCTCACATTTGCTGGATGGTTGATTTCCACCACGTTATAGAGACTCTCTGGTTGAATTGTGTCGCTTTGGGCTACCAGAATACTTTGTTTTAGCTCCAGGTAGGTGCCGCTGCGGCAGGCATGATTGGAGCAAGTCTTAGACACGTGGGCTGGAAAGCTGGTCTTGGGGATGTCAATGGAAAAAAGGCCCTTTGACTTCAGCGGGACTGAATTTCAGCCCCGTCTCCATGGGCAGGATTTTTCCTGCACTGGAGGTGTGCCGGGGCTGCAGAATTAGCTCTGCTCTTGGCAGTGGATGGCACAACAGAGCCCTTCTGTGGCCGAGCTCTGCTTTGCTCACTGCCTTGGCCTGGACTAGGGCTCAGATGAACACTAATTTTGTTAGTGTACACATTTCCATCTGAGAGACTACACAAGAGCCTGTGGTTTGGTCAGGCTTTTTGAATGGGTAGCTTTAGCAAACTATCCATGTCCTGCATTTGGATGTTGAAACCAATGCAGCAATGTTAAAAATAAAAAAGGCCCCCCCCCAAAAAAAGTCTCTGGGGTCCCAAGCCAGCAAAATACTTAACACCTGTGCTAATGTTTTGTTGGGTCCAAGGATGAGCACCCATATGCCCTTCAGCAGTAGGAGACCAGATTTGAAAATGTGGCCCTGTTTATCCTGCTTTAATTTCTTAGAAAATACAAAACAAAGCAAAACATACATTTATAAAAAGATATTCTTGTCTTGTTTCATTTTTTTCCTGTGTTCTGTGCCCTGGAGCATGTAGAAAAACCAGGTTAGAAGAGATTAGGATCGTATTAACCTAAAAGCGCAATGAGGCCCTAATGCTGAGGCGGACTTCCTTCCCCTCTTTCCTGGGAACCTGATGAGTGAGGATGGTCTTGCAGTGCTGCTGGGGGAGCATACAGTCTAACTCCTTCTAAATTGGGGTATCTGCTTATGCCGTGCGTCTGGCGAGCTTACAAAAGAACAATACCAGCAGTGGGAAAAATGGGAAAAGAAGAAAAAAAACTGAGGCACTTGCTTCTAAGCTCAATTAAATAACACAGAGTATATCCTTTTTCAATTTATTCATGCCTTATATTAGTAAAATAGGATTTTTAAGTGCATTTAACATCTTTATTTAACTGTTCCGCTATATTAATCAGGCCCCCAGAAAAGAACACTAGCTATTATTCTAGCATTTAATTAGTTTTGTAACCAAATCCTCTTATTACAAATGCATATGGAAGAAATTCTTTCTTCGAAGACATTATTTCACAGATTTGGTTACTGCAGTAGACTCTCTCTTTAATTAAATCATTTTTTAGAAAGTAAATTGTCTTTAACCTTTTTACAGCACATTTTCAGAGCTTTTTCTTTTTAATCCAAAGAGATGAGCTGTTACTGTCCCCGAAGAAGCCTCTGACATCACGTTTGTAATATCAAAAATAATTATACTCCATGGAAACGTAGACCTTACATAGCAAGAATTCATCTGCTAGAATGAATGGCAGCTATATGATATCTTGTACGTTTAAGGGCATGATGTATCAGATAGGAAGTATTTTTGTCTGCCCACTTCTCAATAGAATCATACCTTCAATTTTTCAAAGAACTGTGTGTAATTCACTAGATGTGGATTCAAGTGTATCCTCAATTCACAGGGCATGGGCTGGCTGTTTAGCTTGGTTTATATTTACATTTTTTCAACTTTATCTTAACTTGTCAGTTTCCCAGATTGAAGAACATGTCAAGTTTGTTTTTTCTACTGACTGATTTCTCTACTCTCCAGTGTTTTTGTCACTGGTTTGCTGAAACAGTATTTATATAGCTCCATTGGCTCTAAAGCTCTTACTCCTTCTAACGTTTTGAATTTTACAAGTGAAATGAAAATAGAAAAGAAATAGAGACAATCAAATGCCTGGAGCTTAAAACAAAGTATGTGCAACCTACCATCTCACTTGAAATTTAATAAAAGAAATAATTATGTAAATATAACATAGAGTTATAGATTTATATTTTGTTCATAACACATAGTGTAATATAAGTTGTATATTTTCATGTTTTGGTTTTATGTTATCATTCATGCCACAATAAATAAAAAAAAACAGGAGTTGATGTACTCTTTAAAAAAAAATACAATGTGGGTTGCCACCATCCTGGGGTTTTGGTTTTAGTTTTTGGGGTTTTGTTTCTTTTGCATTCCCTTTTTTCAGTATTACTGCCCTGCAAGGCACCAATAAAACAGCAAATGTGTTCTTTACCTATCCTGTGGTCTGTTTCCCACTTATTATAGCAAGGGATGTGCTAGTTAATTTTCTTGTCAGGAGAACAAAACAGCTGGGCTTAAGGAGCAGAAAATGAGGTTTAGATTCAGCTTACCAGTCTGCTCCAAAATTCAAGGTTTTCATCAAATCACAGGAAAAAATATCACCCCATCTCTATCAGCATTAAAACAGAAGAAAAAGTTGGTTCTTGAACAATGTAGTACAGTGTAGTTTCCAGCTCAGAGTCAGGACACCTCAGAAAAGGGGATGGCTGAATCCAGAGCTTTGGCCTGTGCCCACCTTCCCAAGTTTCGTTCACTTTCTTCAGGCTTATCTGTTCAGAGAGTGAAGCAAATTCAGGGAAATACCCAATTATAAACGCCAATGACAAAAGCTATGAAAAAAATAGCTCTGCTCTTTAGTTAGTCAAAATGTCCCAACATGCTGCCTAAACAGTTCATGAAGTTTTGACAGCAGCATATGGCACAAAGTGGGATGAAATGAATTTGTACCTGTTTTTGACAGTAAATTATTCAGATGGGTGCTTACTCTCAAGTGCCTACGGCTTGACAGATGCCATTCTATGGTTCCAGATTTCCTAAAGGGAAAAGGCAATATTTGGGAAAGCAGGAGGTCGCTGGTGGAGGTCCTGTGAACCTGCCCACGCTTCTCTTGCTTGCCAGGTTGTCCTCTGTTCTCTTCCTGGGAGCAGGGTAGCACCATCAGCAAACCAGAGGTCTATTTTGGCAGCTTCCTGATACAGCTTATAGCACCTATATAGCACCTGTCCAGTGGAAGTCAAAATGATCCTGAGCAGAACCGTATAATGTGAGGCTTAGGCCAATAAATGTCAGCATCCTTTAACCCCTTAAATTCTTTTATCCATTACTGTCATCTACATGTGATGAAGCACCTGTCTTCCTGAAAGGCCAGAGGAACAAACACAACTGTGCTGGGCAGTGTGGCTGTCAAATTATGGTGTAGTTTTTATTTGGTGTGCCTGACACCTTAACTGCAACTTGAGCCAAGGCAAACATTTTGCTCCTTTGCCCTTTTAACAAATACAACCCTAAAACAAGGAACACCACTGCCAAAGCCCCGCTATCTGATTCCTTTGCTGGCGTGGCACATGCTGCCCACCTGGCCCTGAGGTATCACTGAACATGTAGGCCCTCTCGCCACCCCACGCTGAGATAGAGGGACATAAAATTTCTGCTTGCTTCTTTTTTTGTGTCTGGGCTGGTACCTAACCAGTGAGGTTAGTTTCCCTAAACCAGTGGGGAAAAATTATCTAGGTGAACATGAGAGTAGCTAAGCTGAAGATATATCTAAATTGTAATATGAGTGGACAAGGCTGAGCTTTGCAATAGCAGAAATGAAGACCACTTACTTAAAGCCTGAGTGTGAAACTCAAGTAAAAAAAGATTTCTATAGCGCTGAAGTGATATTATGGCCTAGACTTAGGAGTGGTGAGAATTCTTTCCCTAGACAAGTTGTGGGGATTTTTTTCTTTTTTTATTTTTCTTTTTTTTTTTTCCAAAAATGCTAAAGCATTCAGCAATTGCCTGTAGCAGGAAGGAATAAAATGAGGATAATTATGACATTAATCTATTTTAAAAAGAAAGATGTGTGACAATTAGCGCATTCCTACCAAGAAAGTAACATACAGAGCTATATGTGTGTAGGAAAGTGAAAAGACCCCCTACAGAAGCCATGAAGGGTTATAGAAAGCGTGTGTGCCTCACTGTGCTATTGCTTCAGCATCGGTGAGAAAGGGTGCACAAGAGCTTGTCAATAAGCTTTCAGTTAATAAATATTCAGTAATACTGTAGAAAATGTGGGAGAAGAACAGGCAGTTGCTGTCAGGCCAACCAGGGAAAAGTGCATACTGAAAAGTTGCAGGAAGTCTTGTGAACATATTTATCAAAGTAACCTAGTGCCTGAGACTGGAGGGCTCAAGATAGAGTAGCTAATTTCAGTCCCCAGGATGCTTACGCTCACATCTGTTGGTATTACGGTAGCACTCATGGCCACGTACTGAAATCAGAGTTGCTTGCAAGCTAACCACAAGGACAGAAAAATCACACTGCAGCACCATTAGCCTAATTCAGAAAGGCTGGTGGTGTTGACAGCTCTGCGAGCATCAGCTACATCCCGGATGCAAAACTTTCCTCCTAAGGTGGCTAAGCAAGGCAGAGGGATGGCAACCTCCCTTCCCTGTTCTGGCTGGATTTGCAAGACTGGCAGTTAACAGATACTGTGGGGTTTCGGTGAGGGGGTTTCTTCCATAAATAAATTTGATCTGAAAGCTAATGCAAAAGAGATTCTACAGATTCACAGGTATCATTTGTAACAGTTGCTCTCCAACCTCTAGTTGCATGAACTTTGCAGACATTACGCTCTTGGTTTTACAACATGGTTCAACCAGGTTAGAGGTTCCCACTCCCTTCGCGCCATGTGCTGTGAACATTCACAGCGCACACACACACACACACACACACCCCTAGCCAGCCTGGCTCACTCCACACCACGTCTGGCATGGCTGCTCAAAAATCTTGTCACCAGGAGATGGCTATGTGTATCCACCACTTTGAGGGATTAGCCAATGCTTACTGGTTTGGGGTTTTTTGGTTTGGGTTTTGTTTTGTTGTGTTTTTTTTTTTCCTGCTGGAAGAGCAACATTGTAGGAGCAGAGCAAGTGCCTGGGACCAGGGGAGCAGGGAGAACACCCAGGGCTCAGCCAGAATCCTCCTCCATCTCAGAGCAGGTTCAACTCAGACACACAGCAGTACATACGCACAGCAAACTCAGCTGTTGCCACTGCAGCAGCACTGTATGTCTGAAGAGCACGTGACAGCAGTACCAAGGAATTCCTGACCCATTAACCAAATCAAAGCAAACTGCTTGGCATGAGATGATGAATTTATTGATTATGGGTTTGGTTATTTGCAGGCTTACACCAGTTTACCTTTTTGGATGCTTCTGAAATTGCTGCCAGAGGCAGCATAGAAAGTTACTTTGGCCAAAAATCAGGCTTTCCTCTGCCCCCATCCATGTGGAGGCCAAGTCAGTTAGGAAGAGGTTAAAGTCACTCCAAAATACACCCCTCCACAGAATCTAATACTTCAAACAGGGAGCCAGCCCTTCTGTAGAGCTAGGTCTTAATAGCACTGGCAATGGTACATACATAATTGAAAATATAATGAAAAGCACAAATTTAAGGTTTGGTTAAGACTCTTCCAGCCCTGTGTGGCAATCCAAGCTGTAGTTTGAAGGTCATTTTGAAATAACTTAGACTTGGTTTAAATCCTGACTGTATGTTTAGTCTTAGTTAACAATGTCAGGAAGGAAGAAGGAGAGATTGTCTATCACAGGTAATGTAAACTGCTCGCATAGGTACAGTTCTAGCCATATGAAGGAGCATTTATGGTGCAAATTGTTCCCCGTGGAAAATGCCATTGGTAATTTCGGCAGCTGCACTGGTGCACCGATGACTAGGGTTGATGTCAGCCGCACTGGTGTAGCTGTACAGTACAGAGTGTGTGTGCGTGAAGACAAGGGCTCAAACTAAGCCTTGAAAAGCCCCTCCTATCCCACACAGGGATTTGTGTCGGTTTAACTTCGCGTTATCAGTGCAACTTTAACAGGCAGTGAATGCCTGACCCACCAAGGACAAATCAATGCCTCCCCTTGTATTTAACAGAGATATGACTTAAATACAGTAAGTAAATCAAAGTAATTATTTAAAATTAAAATTATTTA